CTTGTCCGATTCCTCGTGGAAAAGTACGTTTATAGCTGAATTCCCACCTATTCAATCCGCGATAGAAGCTCATATCAAGGCCGACATGGAGAGAATCGTTCGTGAAGAGAAATATATTCGAGATCAGACAGCAGCAGTGGATCAAAGTCTCAGAAGGTTCTTTTCGGTTACATGGTATTCTTAATAGAGGTCGATGGCAGAATTGCTGTCTGTAGGTGCAAGGCTCTGGCAAATATAATGGTAACAATGAAGAAGCTTGCAATGGTTCAGGATCCTACCATACAACGAACCAAAAAGGTGTACATTCGCTTGAGTTTGCTTACTAAGCGGTAACTATCCATTCCAGGAAACCAACTCCTCCTCTGCAGTAACTAGCCCTTCACCAGCTCAAGCGCCGCCTCCTCCAGCGCCGCTTCCACCGCAATCACCACCGCAGCCGATTCCGGTCGTAATTCCAATTCATCATCAGATGAGCAGTAACGGAAACGATCAGCCCCAACTGGCAATCTCCTCGCAGTTTCCAGCAAATGGGTCACAGGTCCAAGCACTAAACACTACAAAACGCACAGAAACCTACTCCAATGGTTCACAGCCAGTAACAAACGGCTCACACCAAAATGGCCCTGAAATCGCTGCTCCCTACACTCCAAATATATCGAAGAACGCACCAGAGCAACTGCCGCCAGTGCCACAACAACCCCCTCTTTCACCAGCCACCGAGCTGGACAATGTTCTTGAGGAGGTGAGCACATCTGCTTGTTCACTTTAAGATTTTTGTTGGCGACAGATTCAACTAACGCGACTATCTTTCTGTTCGCAGGTCTCACCGAGTGGTATTCCTCCCCGACCGCCAAGCAGATATTCAGTGCAGGACGTCCGCATGAAATTCCAAAAGCCGCCTGAACTTCCTGATCAAATCAAAAGCCTCATAGACGAGGTTGCACGTCGAGCATCGCCTGGTCCAGATGCGAACGAGCGGAGGTTATTCCCAAAATTGATATAGCAACAACTTATACAGACATCTCTGTTCCAGATTGGATCTAGAAGAACGACAGGAACGCTTAGCAGAAAAACAGCGCCAACTTCGCTCCCAATTTCAGCAACTACAGCAAATGACTCCTCTGCCGTGAGGTGAAAGACATCCTCGCTGGCAAACACCTACCAAAA